TGGAGGAAGTTCTGTGAACTGCAAAATCATGCAGGAGTGGAGTAGGGGTGAGCCAGCGTGCTGGGAGTGGTGGGCTCGCTGAGAGGAGTTTGCTTAGAATCGAAAGGGGCAGTGGCGGGCGGGGGTGGCTCCAGGAAATCCCTAGAAGAGGCCAAAATGTTTGTATTTGTCCACAGTGCCCAGGGCTCTCCAGGTTTGGCTTCGGTGTTACTGTGGGTGTGTGATGGGATAATGTGGCCTCTTTCCACATCACTCCATAACTTCTGGTCGGTCTCCCTTCTTTCAGGACGATCTTGGTTCCTTTTTTCCCTATGAAGTTCCCAGAAACTTTCTGCTGTGGGTACCCTCTCCAACCCAGATTTTTTTGTTTTCTGTTGGGTGTGACGAGAATGCTGGGCAACAGGAGGAGAAAAACTGGAGTGTGGATTTAGTTGCTTTAAACAATTTCATCTTTTGATATCCTGCCTTTGGGGCATCACCAAGGAGGAGTGGCCCTGTATTTTCTGGTTGTCTGGAAGTCGGTGGGAAAGGCTGCTTCCTGTTCCCTAGATCTGACCGTTCTCCCTCTGGGATAGAACTAGTCTGGAATGGGACAGTGCCCCTTTACCTGCGTCTACCTGTGGATGATCTGTTTGCATTCTGTTTTCTGGATCCAGCTGACTTGGGCAGGTCTCTGGGCCAGGAGATACCGCAGGACTGTGCAGAGGGGGCCAGCTCCAGCGGGAGCCCCTATCAGGTCTTTGCATTTGGGCTGTTTTAGGGGGTCCTGCTTTCCTCTATTCTTTTTTCGTCTCCCTTCTATAAAAATAGAGGGCTTGGGAATCTGACTGGAAACAAGTTTCTTTCGGCAACCATTTATTTATCAACGATGTTCGGCGCTGGATTGGATTTTGGATGGAGAGCAAAGCACAGATTATCCCTGACCTCCGGTGCCGCCCTGGCTTGGGCAACGGAGTCAGTCCTGTGAGCAAATAAAGACAGGGCAGTGAGCACTAATACCCGAGGTGCTGGCAGCCTCCTCATTAATTTGGTGGGAAGGTCAGAGGTCAGCCATGGCTTTCCTGAGGCAGTGGGTTGTGCAGTCTGGAGGAAGTGGGGGTGGGGGGAGTCAGTGAGGCAGTTAAGGTCTGCTGGTGCTCTCCATCTCCAGGTGTGGAAGGATGGGTAGGTTTGCTGAGAGCACCAGAACCTGGGAGTCTGCAGCATGAAATTGACCTTCTCCTTTCCCCATGCCCTAGCTTGGCTCAGCAGGTGTCAATGGTGCAGGGCCAGTGCTGAGTGGCTGATGGACACCAGGGTGGGCCTCTGTAAATTTAAACTCTATGTATGTCCAATAAGGGCTCCCAAGGTCCTAGGAGTGTATTGGGTTTCCTCGTTTGCTCAATATTTACTGAGAGCTGATATGTGCAGAGCACTGGACTGTGACCCAAGGGACATGAAGCAGTATAAAGGGATCTATAGAGATTCACGGACAGGGATATATACCTACCACGTTTTTTACAATAGTAAAAATATAGAAATGGCTTAAATGCTCAACAATAACAGCATAGTTAAATGATTTTGGGTCCTGTCCATGCCATAGAAAGTGATGTTTATAAAGAATATTTATATTTATTAGAATGCCATGTTGACTATCAAAATATTTTATATGCTTATGAAGAGTATCTAGGGACATGGAAAAGTGCTTCATAATTAGGGGTAAAGCAAGGTACAGAACGAATCCCAGGGTAGCTGAAGATAGCTTCATATGTGATTGAGGAATTAGCAGTGCATCAGAATGTTAACAGCAATTGTTCTAGAAGGCACAGCTCTGGGTGACTTTTGTTTATTTCTCTGTTTATGCTTTTTTCTATTTCCCCAAGTTTTCTATATGGATGTGTATTTGTTTTTTGATCAGAAAAGTTAATTAAGGAAAAAGGTTCCTTTGGGGCCTCTCAGCCTTCCAGAAGAATACTGGGATGAAGAGTCACAGTCAGCACTTGGGACAGGTTGGTTCTAGCCCTTCCCTCCTGGCTAGGTATCTCTGCCCTCGGTCTGGGGAGGCTGTGCTGCCCTGGCCCCACCCCTGCAGCTGGCTGCCCCTTCCTGCTGCCCTTCTCAGCTCCTCCCTGCGGTGGCTCCTTCCCCAGGCCATCCATGCTGATTGTGGTGTGGTCGACATCCAGTCCTCAGAATGGAGACATGTCAGAGCTGGAGGGGACGTGAAGTCATCTGGCTCAAGTGGTTCCAGCATCAGGCCAAGGATTGGAACTGGGCTGTGACAATTTCAACTGGTCCATAGACACACTGGAAAAGTAATAATGGTGAATGGTTTTTCCACGAATCCAGATACTTTCAGTTTAAAAACTTGTCCATTTTTCTGACATGATGTCCATATTGAAGGGAAGGGGCGGTTTTCAGTGTCCTTTAGAAAAAATTAAGTAGTGATGGTATATTGATTTTTTTTTTAAGAAAGTCTTTTGGAGATAAAATTTATTTTTAAATGTATAATATACATTATATATTTTAAACATGTTATATATTTTAAAATGTTTTTAAAAATATATAAAATACATTTTGAAAAATATATTTTGCCAATCCCTGAGATTCAGAGGTCTGAGAACTCCTGATATAACTCAGCTCTTTGATTTTAGAGAAGTGGGGCTTTGAGAGGGAAGGGTCTCAAGGCTGCTGGGTTTGTAAAGACAGAGCTGGGATTGGTGCCAGTCTCCTGAATTATAGATCAGATTTCTTCCTGCTCCATCTCTGCCATCCCAGCCCCCCATCTTCCACCTGCTTCCTTTCTCCCAAGCCACTGCTAGGGCCTCTGCCCTTGATGGTGGCTTGACGCTGGCTTGATGCTCAGAACCTGGTGGGACAGTGGGTGGAGGTGCAGGAAGCAGGAGATGTTTGTCCCTGGTCTCTCCTGCAGAGCTTTTAATGTATACATATTTAGGTTCTACACCATTATATATTTAATAGGCTTTTGTGGGCTGGCCTGGGGACCTAATTGCCATTTATAATGCTGTTTGGAACCTGGAGTGCACTTTTCCCACAGAAACAAACACATTACAGAGGAAATTTTAAAACAGAACTGGCACATCAATGGGAGGAATAGCCGAGCTCCGTGTGGGTGGCAAATGCTGAGTGCTGTGAGTTTGGGCAAGGGTCAGGCCGAGGGCCCCCAGTCACTAGAGAAGGGTCCTAGCTCACGCCTCACGAGGGCCGACTCCAGGCTCTGTGACAATGGGGATCTTCCCTGTTCTGCCTGTTGTGTTCCCAGCACCTAGCCCAGGACCTGGCATGCAGTCCTCCCCAGTCCATGGTTGGCCGGAGGAACTAGTTTTGCAGGCAAAGAAAGGAAACCATCTGGGGTAGAAGTACAGACAATGAGGAGTTATGGGCCGGTCTGGATGGAAGGAGAGATTTGAGTCTCGGGAGGGGGAAATCACATTGGAAAAGTGGATTGTGATGAATGTTAAATGCCTGGCAAAGCTTTTGGGACTTGGTTCTGTAGGTGATGGAGAGACGTGATGAAAGCTGCCCTTTTAATAATAAGATCAGTCAGTCCACACTGGGGTTGGAATGGAAGAGACTGGATTAATTTTCCCAAAACAACACTTTCTTCCTCTCTCTTCTCTTGCATCTATAAGATAAAGTTAAAGTGTGATGTAATGGGTAGAACATGGGTTTTTAGCCAGCTGGGCACTGAAGAGGTGTGTGACCTTGGGCCCTCCCTCAGTTTTCTTGTTTGTCAGTGGTGGTAATAATATCCATTTGCATTTCTGCAAATGAAATATCCATTTCATTTCTGATGAAAGCATCAGAAATAATACAGGAAGCACCCAGCACAGTGCTTGGCATATGGGGGCGGGGCGGGGGCACAATAAATAGGAGCCAGGGCAGTTATCTCAAGTTGGGAAGGAGAGGTGCTGGGGAAGCCGGTTAGGAGGCCAGAGAGGGTGTGAGCAGAGACTGCAGGCTGTGAGTTGGGGGGCTGTGCTGCTGGGATTCTCCCCATCACACTTCCTCTGAGCTGGGCTCTTGACTCGCTCCTTGCCACTCCCCAGTGGGCCCTTGCAGAGCCTCTGAGGAAGTAGAGGGGGCTGCAGAGGGTCTAAAGATTTATGTTTCTCTCCCCTTTCTTCTGAAATCTCTCTTTTGAGAATGGTGATACCAACCAGACTGCCTCCCTGACGGGTTTGCTTCAGCTTTGCGGTTTTGCTCAGTGGGGCTCTTGTGTCTCAACTGGTGGTGGTGGCTAAGTGACAGTGAGTCAGAGAGTGATGCATGGGGTGTAA